GCTGTTCGGATGCCAACAGCAATCATAGATCAAGTCACCAAGATGCATTGATGATTTCAGGTTCAGCTGAAACAGAAATCCCATTGCAAAAAACTAAAACTCCACAAATTTTTGTGATGGGGTCAATGAAAATCCAAAAAAATTTGAAAAGCTAATCTTCTGTCACTATTCGCTCCACAGCAATATTGGTTTTGTCAGTAACTGGAAAAAAAATTAGGTCTTCAGTGAATTGTTTTCTAAGGTAGAGGCACTTAGAAGTAGTTCAGATGGTAGCATTTTTGCGAAAAGCAATAATACTTTGGCACGGTATCGGTAACTTCCCCAATTAGAGAATTACAAAAGAGAAAGCCGGCGTCTTTCCTGACTTTCTGCCACACGCTAACACTACCAAAATAAAATAATTAGCCAACGCACGGGCTGTCCGTGCGAAGATGCGTTTTTTGTATAGCTCCCCGCAGATTTCTGTCACTAACAGCACTGGTTTTTCCGGCAGATGCTTCTAGCAAAAAGAATTTCAGACTGACCGCCAGAACTGTCAGGAATCATCCCCTCAAAATTCCAGTCCTCCAGCTTTTCACGTTCTCGAGTTAGCAACTTACCGAGAAGAAACTTTCACGAGCCGTACGTAGGTACCGCGCTCATCCGCGGGCAGGGTTTGAAATCGTTAATACTCACTTGGACAGGGAACGTCTCCCTAACATTTCAGTGTTCTAGCTTCTCAGATCCCCGAGTTATGAACTTACCTGAAAAAAATTTTGGCGGGTCCGTACGCGGGTACCACGCGGGTGATGGCGCTCATTTTGGGGATTGGGGCCGGCACATACAAGTAGAATAAGTCCCCGAAATTTCAGCCCTAGCTTTTATAGGTCTTGATATGAAAGTGCGTGACAGATGCACACACAGACACACGGACAAACAGAAAACTCCTCGTCAATATGCGTTTTTACATTGTACAGCTGCAAAAAACGCATAAAAAGGCATAGACTTTTTTGCGGTAACCGAATCAAGTCATTGCCTTCAGCTTGCAAGCTGCGTCCGAATCAAGCCAGGACAGGATTACCACTACAACAAGATCACCAGCCTACGGCTATCAATTCAGCTCATTCTCGATGAAAATATGTCACTCCGTTGCAGTGAAAACGATGAATTTCAAAATAAAAAGCTTACGGCTGCAGCTCCGGCGTCGTACTCAAATATCCTGGCAATCCTGTCCTGACTTGTTGTTGCAAGGAAGCTATTCGAGCTGCTCCATTTGCAGCATTTCAAATAGTTGTTGGAGAGATTGTTCAGGGCAAATCCAAACTCAGCAACTGCTGACGAAAAAGCCTTTGTCTCTCGAAACACTTCTCGGATGTTCGTAAAAGAAAAATCCAACCTCCGAATCTTACGGGGAATTTCACTTTCGTTTTCCTGAAAATCCGGTAAAACTGTTCGGAACACATACACATATGCTTAATAAAAACACCTAGACAGGGAAAACCAGAAAAAAAAAACATTATGCCCCAGAAGTTAACGAACATAACGAAAACGAGCACTTCCTTAAAGGTCAATTTTCCTCTCCAAAACTCGTCCTTAACGGACGCGAAGTCCTTTCTTTGGAAACCGGGTAACGAAAAAAGCTGCGCTTACGCCTTGAGAAATAGAGGAGGTTTTGTGTGTTGAAAAAAGTTTTTTTCCGAGGAAAAAGTTGCAATTTACCGCACTTACGTTTGCCATTGGATCCGTTGAAGCCTGTTGTCTGGGAACCAGAACTCTTTCCTGAACTCCCACATCGGTTGCACCGCTTTCTTCCGATGATTCCTCCGTCCGAGTTCTCTTGTTCCTGGACACATTTCCCGAACTTTGGAGCTAAAAAAAAGAACTTCACATTCAAGTAGAATGGAGCATGAAACAAATACAAATAAATAGCAACGCGCACTAGACTAGCCGGTCCGATCACGCATTTTGTGCAATTCAGCCCATCGAATGATTGCCTATCAATGATTTTCACTGCTTTGTACTTTAGCCTATGCAAAAAATAGTTCAAACATGGAAAACAGTTAAAAATTTCACGCACCAGCACATGAAAGCTGAATTCGAAACCTTGAAGGACGAATATCTTTCCATGATTTCCGAGTTAACAGTTTACCCGCCAAAATTTTCGCGAGGCCGTAGGTGGTACCCGGGAGCGCGAGAACGCTGAATTTGAATGAGCAAGGTTGAGCGTAGGCAGGGGTCATTACCCTAAAATTTCAGCCTTCTAGAGTCCGTGGTTCCCGAGATATTAACTTACCCATAAAAAAATTTCACGGGCCGTACGTGTTACCCGCGGGTAAGGGAAGGCTAAATTTGAATGGGCAAGGTTGAGAGTGGGCAGAGGGTCATTACCCTAAAATTTCAGCCTCCTAGACTCTGTGGTTCCCGAGATATTAACCTACCTGTAAAAAACTTTCACGGGGCCATACGCGTTACTCGTGGGTACGGGGAAGCTGAATTTAAATTTGCGGGGTCACACGCGGGTGGGGAACGTTCCCCTAAATTTCCAGCTTCCAAGCTTTTGTGGTTCCCGAGTTGAAAGTTGCGGACAAGTTGCTGCGGACACACACACA